CCCTCTCTCTCTCTCTCTCTCTCCCTCTCTCGCTCTCTCTATCTCTGACTATCCCCGATGATTTCTAATACCCCCATCAAAAATGAATAATCCCACAGAACTCTACGGCAAGAACTGCAAAGACATGTATTCCTTCTGCAAGACCTACTCCGCTCTACGCTTCCGCTGTAAACGGTCCAGCTTCCGCCGGAAGTGCTGTCAGACGTGCAAGAACTCTGGGAGCGAGGCTAACCGACCAGCCCCGAAGAACGCCCTCGAACGCTACATGATGAAGCGACGTCTAGGCCGCTGGCGGTAGTCTCCCTTTGCAGAAATTCTCAACCGGTGGTCGCAAATCCGTTTCGGGCAGATATCTATTTTACAGGCGAAATCTCCACCCAGAAAGAATGTTTAACCGACACTTTTGAATGATGAGATTTAATTTATGAGAACTGACCAATGATCAAGTATTATCCATTCAAAAAGTTTCATGTATATATTCTATTGTATTTTTCCCTTCCTTTTTATGCCGTTGTTAATTTAGCGCAACCGGCATCTCTAAGGTAACGGTTAAGCTATCTACCGTGAGTACGATTCCCGAAGCGAGCTAATTATTTTGCGTTTCGTTCTGAAATGGCTTTTCTGCTCCGAGAACAATACACACGGAACGGTTTTTCATCTGCTTTTGGGTTTTAAAGTCACAAACTTGAACTTCCGAAATCTCAAAAGTACCTTATATGCAGATAGAACTGTGTTAATCTCATACCACGGTTTGTATAAAGTATCTTTATAGCCCTGGTTTTATTCCAGTGTTAGTTTTCGGCTGAATCCAAGCGTGAAGCTGAGATCCATTCTATAGCTCTAAACCTGTTTTCTTTATCCTATAGGATTGTTTATGTCTCACACTCTCCATTAGTGAGTTCCATACTTTTTTTGTTGCTAATTAATAAAGTCACGGGGTTTTCTAAAACATCTCCCTTTCCACAAGTCATTCACATTTGTGTAATTCGAAAAAAAAATGTTTTGCTTTTTAATTTAGTGTTCGTTCAGTTGTCAGAGACGGGAGTCGATTGGCATATTGTATCCAGTATTCCTCATATTTGTTCACTCTTCACATTTATTCATGCTCGTCAGAATCTTTGAGTAGTTATTCCTCGTTGGCAGGTTCAGCACAGTTCTGAGCCAAGACCCAAGGGCGAGAGTAACAGCAACAACTGATAGTATGTTGCAATTCTATGCGAGAGAATGATTACATTTAATGTTTTGGCAAAACAAGCATGTACTAGAGAAGTTACGTAAGAGAAACTTTTAGAAACTACAACATCTAAATCAAAAGAGCTGCAAAGTTGGCTTATCGTAGAAAACTGTATCGCCCCTCGACGCTCAAAGGCAACAGAGGATAAAAAGAATATATCGTTTAAAAAACAGAACAAAATAACAACACCCT